GAAAGAGAAAAAGAAAGATCGTTAGATGGAAGCTTCCCTCACTGTCGAAGCATCGCGCGCACTCCTCTTATTCCTCGACTTAAGTTGGCAAGTGCGGATACGTTTTGCATAAAATGCATATTCATCACACGCGAAAAGAAGCGTGTCTCCTTCTCCTCTTATCTCTCTCTCTTTGCGTGTTCGGGACACTTCTTTGTTCGCGTACGTTGCGATATTAATGGAGAAGACGTAAACGAAAAGTAAAAGGGAGACGTTTGAAAAAGAGGAAGGATCCTCAACGATCGACGGTCGTTCTTTCCGCGCAAGATAACCCGGGGAAGGTCCGCGTTCGGGATCGTCGTTATTCGGTATATAAGAGCGGAAGAATAGGTTGGGAACACTCGGGGAGGGCTCAGGATCTCCGCTCTCTCTCTCTCTCTATCAATTTCAGTACTTTCGCGTGGCGCGCTCGAGTGCTTGGCGGAAAATACATATTCATCTCGGGGCCGCCGTGCCGGGGAGGGTGCATCCGTAATAGAGACGAAAAGGACAGGAGGGATCCGCCGGATCTGCGTGCATTTCTCGCCGGATGTCCGCGTGAATGGCGAGCAATATCGATCAGTCGGAGAGAGAGAGGGGGATGAAGAGTCGTTTCGCGCGGCTCCGCCAGCTGTTTCGGGAAGAGCTCGATTCAATTTCTGCCCGGTCCCGCTTTGTGCGCATACGTGTGTATGTGTATTACATCAGCGGAACGACGACAGGCACCGCCGTTTTGGATTCTACGGGTACGCGTGACGAATAAGTGTGCCCACCGTTTTCGATACTACGCCGATATCGCTCTCTATCACAGCTGTTGCCGTTCTCGCCGTTATATTTCAATCGAAAACGCGTGAGCGCAAGCGCGCACGGATAAAGCGGCGTATTTACAAGGGGCTTCCGCGCTAACTCCGGCCGGTTAGAAATATTTGTTTCGACGTTCGCAAACATCGCGCGAATGAAAGGACCGCGCGCGGAATCCCCGTAGATCGGCCGAACGTCGAAAGGAAAAAACGAACGGGTGAGAAAAAAAGTGTGAGCGGAGGAGAGAGAGGGAGAAAGAGGGAAGGAGGGAGGGAAACGGAGAGAGAAAAATCGCACTCACCGAGAGGGAAAAAGGGGGTGTGTTAACTCCGCTAAAGTCGGGGTGAACGGCCGAAGAACCGGGGGGAGAGAGAGTATCGCGCGCGCCCGCGCAGAGGATCCAACTTTTAACCCGCGCGGCGAGAGATGGAGAGGAACAATATTTATCTTGCGCCGACTGGAGATGATATTTTTTCGCGACGTAATTTTAACGATATGTTACAGCAGACAGACGTTTCGACGGGGGTGTCATTTATTAGGGTCACGAGCCGGGGGTGGACTTCTATTCTCTCTCTTTCTTTCTCTCGAATCGCTCACACTGCCGATTATTACAATCGTGAGCGTGGAATGCGAAACATTCGTCCGCGTTAATTCTCAAACTCGAAGGACCTCGTCAGTTCTCCTTGAAAATTACACGATTAATTGCTGAGGTCTGGGTGAGAATTCGGATAGAAAAATGAGACGAGAGTCGCTCGTTAGAATGCGGAGTTCATCGTTTCCCCAGCTGTTTAAATAACCCCGGGTGTGCGAAAGGCTCTATAACGTGACCGAGCGCGCGCGCGCTCTCCTCCAGCTTATCGAGCCGTGACTTTCCTCCCAAGGAAGGTCTTAATTGGGTGCGGGGAGAGGTCGTCCTTTCGATCCTGTCGCGAGGAAGAAGTACCGAACGGTACGTGCGTTTTTGTTGCGTGCGCTCCGACGAAATCGAGAGGGAAGAGGATGACGCGCGCCGAATAAAACTCGCCTCGTCACGATTCAAGGTGAAATCCGACATTCGCCCGCGGGATCGACGAGGGGCATGTTTCTCGTGGGGCGAAGATCGACTCCGGCGAAATTAATTTCCCCCCTCCCTTCTCCGCGCTCCGTACGTTGCGTAATCCGTAATCGATGAGCGAAAATTCTCTCACGTCGAAATCGCCCGAAGATGCCCGGAGAAAAACCGATCCCCTCTTTTCCTCTCTGGTGTTAATCCTCTAATCGGCGATATGCAGCTTTCAAGGCACAGTCGATTACGAGTTACAAGATAACCGGGGTTCCCTCCTAAGGCCTGTTCAACAATACGTCGTATATTAGAGTCGAAACGCAACCAACAATCATCAGCTGCGTTCCGATATTCGACGTGTAGAACGGAAAACTGAGAAAAATAAATTAAATGAGATTATGTGTGTATAAGGACGCGAATATTCAGCCGTTCGTTTCCTAAGATAAGTTAGGATATATGTTTATACCCCCTTTGAAATTACGTTTTTTCAATATGTTCGCTTCCATTTTAATTTATTGGAAATAAATAGAATATAATCTTCTGACTTCTATGATAGCAAAAACTCCGTTGTTAAAGTGTTCCATAGGCGTTTACGAGAATTTTGTTCAGATTTTTACACAGCTCCGTGTAAAAACCGGCATTCAAAGCCCCGTGTTGCTGACGGAAGGTACTACATTGCACGTTGCCGGCGGAGGATCAATCGCGAGGGACTTATGTGTGCCGAACGCCGCCGCCGCCGCAAACTATATACTGCGAACCATCTTACGGGGAATCGAGGCTTGCTCTCGGGGAAATTGCAACTTACGCGAAAGTACAGACGAGTCCTCGAGAGCTGAAGCCTCAAGATCAAAGCTGAGGCGCGTGGAAAGGTAGACGAACGGCGAGGAAACGCCTCTTTGAGAAGCTCTCGGATCGCTCGAAATTATCGTCGCTAAGGTCTAGCCTGCGTTAACTTCCTGACCCCGGTGTGATCGCGTGGCTAATTAATGGCGCGAGCAAGTAATTTTTCAAATGAAGAGCGCATCGATCGGGAAAATCATTGATGCGCAATACTAGACGGAACATAGAACATCAAAAATGGTATCAACGGACGTAGAAAGAGACGAGAAGATGTGCGGATAATAGCGATTCACGCAGACGGAAACCACGAGAGCTTAAAAATTTATATATTTTTTTTGCACGATAAATACATTGCATAAGTAAAGTAGAAATCGTTTTTAAGAATTAATTAATTACTACGTATGTGTAATAATTTCAGTTTGGGGCGCGACGTTTACAGTGTTGCGCATACAAAATCGATATCATAAATCTGTTGAAATTCAATCCTCAAGAAATGATTATTTTTTCACGCAAAGATTTTGTATGTCTGACTGTAAATGGTAAGTCTATTATTTCTTAAGTGAAATATTTATTGTTAGAAAAATTCCTTTAAGTCGATAACCACTCAGCAAGAAAGTATTACAATGGCCCACTTTAGCCAAACGGTTTGCCTTTCCGCAATCTTCAACTGACATGCAGTCAGGTCACAAGTCAAATTTAAAAGTTTGCCGGTATACAGTTAACCATTGTTTTCTATTCTTTCAATTAAAAATATTCTGAGCAAATTTTAATTCGTTTCATATCAAAGTTTTTATTTTAAAAACAATTAAAGATATAAAATCGTTGTATGAAAGAATAAGAAGCAACATTTATTTTTTAAAGAACGATTATTTTTTGAGTATCGAGCTCGAACAGATTAATATAATATTCATTTCGTATGAATTCTGAATTTGCAGATTTCGGAATGAGCTTGATTGAGAAAATGAAATTAAAAATTTTTTAAATAAAAAACTTGTTCATCCCGGGGTAAATTGGGTAAAATCTTTTGACCTTAAAAGGAACGATCAAAAGATATATACAACTTGTAAGAATACGTTACTCTTCTCCTACTGTTAGACAAAAGTCAACCAAAGTAAAGACAATAGAAAGATCCGTGTTTATATATTCACTTCTCCCTTTCCGTTAAACCCGAAAGATCAAAGAAATCTTGCCGCATGTTCCGTCCAGTACCGTGTGTCAACGGGGAAAACCCGAACGGGTCCGGTCGAGCTCCGCCTCGAAATCCAGAACAAAGAAGATTTCCACTGCTCAGCTCTCCCCCCTCCCGAGAACTTTCCGCGTTGTTTTCTTCAGATCGCAACCTACGACTCGCTCGGCCTCACTCGCAGTTTTCAGAGATATCGAACTCGTGTAGCCGCGGAAGAGAGGAAAACTGACGCACACACTCCGGCCGCCCAGGAAATCGCTTCGGTTATTCCGTTTCACGAGGGGTCCCCGCTGAAACGCAGCGAGCCGACCGAGCCGGTATTTATCGCGCGGGAATTAACGCGCACCGACTGCACTTTACAGCCGCATGCACGACTCACTTGCGCCGTAAAGCGGATTATTTATGGCTTACGCCGGATGCTCACGAGAGAAGAACTCGTCGTCGACGCCCTTCTTGTTTCCTCTCTCTCTCGTCGTCTCTTTAATCTCCTTTCCGTCCTCATGGTGTTCTCAGTCCACGTTATAATCCCCTTTTCGACGGCGATCGTACGCGTGCCAGATTCTCGAGATTCTCGTTGAAAATCGTCGGGATCGTCGAGAAAAAACGAGAGAGAGAAAGAGAGAGAGAAGAAGAAGTAACGATCACCGTTGACGCCGATTTTCGACGCTTCCCGCGACGACGAGCGCGAACCGAAGGAGCATTAATTAACTCCCGCCGCGCGACGTTCGTCGCCCCCAACGTCGTCGTCGTCGGACGCTGAATCATTAATCGCTCGCGCAATAATTAACGAGCCTTTCCATAATCCACGAGAACACGTACCATGCTGCCGACATGAATTTTTGAACGCGCGCGCTCTCTCGCGCTCGCCACCTGCGCTGCGTTGCGCCGATCCTCTTTCTCTCTCTCTCCTCCGCGATAGAATTTATATATAAAAGAGTCAGCTCCCCGGCGGTATTTAGAAAATAATCGATTATAAAGGCTCCCGCGATAAAGCCGCGGCAAGCCTGTGTCTTCCGTTCTACACCGCCGTTGACGAGTTTATTCGCGGTTGGTCGGATTTCACCCTACTTCTCTCTTCCTCTCCCTGTTCATGTGGAACGCTTGCGCCGATACTCAGAGAACAGCGGAGGGAAGCTCGTCGTGCACTTTTCTTCATGCGAGGCGCACGAAGAAAAGGGAGCTCAGAGGGATCGCATAACATAAATTTCGATACCTTCTTCCCCTCGGAGCAAGAGGAGGAAACCAATCATCGGCGTTACAGCGAGTGCTTATTTATGTGTACGACGGGGATCGTGAGTCGTGCGTGCGATCGTGTCTACGATTGTGCGCGAGAGAGAGAGAGTGCCTCCTCCTCTCCGCGTTACGTAATATATATATATATATATATCCTTAACGACGTAAGCGATATAACAACTTCCAATGTGGATTATAAAAATATTCAATCTTTGTCGTACCAACTAGTTAACCTATTTGATATGTAAACTATCGATATGTAAAATTGATATGTAAAGTCCACGGACCAACAACGTGATGATCCGCGCGTCGTGGGGATACGCGCGCGCGGGTCCGAAACGGCGCGGACCCCCATCTTATTTTGGCCGGCGTTACTGTAACTTGTATGCGTGTATGTGTACGTGAGAATGTGTGCGTGTCTCTGTATACTTTTGTCCAACACGTTTGATCAACGAGACGCGCTGTTAACGAGAACCTCCTCACGGGGATCTCGACGCCGTCGAGAGTAAATAAATCGATAATCTATGATAAAGAGCTACTTATCCTCGCCGGTGTCTGTCGGCGTTTGATCCCACAGTGGCTGCGCCAGGAGGTGGAGGCGAACGGACTCACCACGATGGTTATTCCTCCGGCCAGCCGAGGTCCTCGCCAACCAGCTCGTAGAAGCGTTGATTGTGCTCGTTGAAGAACTTCCTCAGCTTGGTCACGACCATCGGACTGACGCGCGGGTGACGTCTACCCTTGCTCTCCCTCAGACACTTCTCCGACGTCTCGTTCCTCAGGCAGTAGAAACCCTTGGTGTGGTTAAAGTAGAAGTTGTGCCTGCCGATGCGCGGCTCCAGCCCGAGGAAGTTCTCGATACGTCGCAGCTGCGGCACCGGGTCCTCGATCAGCTGGTCGCCGTTCACTATAAGGATCTGTTCGCGCGAGAACACCTCCAGCCAGCGGTGCATGTAGGTGTGGTAGAGGGAGATGGCGACCGGCCTGTAGGACTCGTTGATGCTGCCATCCGGTCGCATCACCAGCTCTTCGAAACTGCGCGCCACTTGCTGCGGCGTGCCATTGGTCAACAAGGTGGACGCGGTGGCCGCGTGCGTACGCAGCTGGGTGTAATCCGAGATCGCCCTGGTGACGGGCTCGCGCACGATCAGCAGCAGCTTGACGCTACTGTTCATCGCGCGGATCCGCTCGGGCACCTCCGGAGTGACGAAGTAGCTCGGGCTCTTCTCGATGGTGATCTGCCCCTTGAAGGAGTACGGCATCTTACGCCGGTACCACTCCAGACCCTTGCCGTAGTTGTCGTCGCGGTCGAAGAAGTGCACCTCGCCGGCCGCCTTCTGTATCTGCGGATGGAGGAACAGCATCTCCAGCAGGGCACGCGTGCCGCATTTGCGCACGCCGATTATGATCGCCTGGGGTAGATGGCGATTCGTGCGCGGGAAGTGGACCTTGTTGGTGAAGAGCAGGGGCGGCGTCGCACGTACCTGCGACGTCGATCGGATAGTGTCGTCGGGCAACGTGAGCAGAGAAGAAGAAGCGTCAAAATTTATCAACGAATGAAGAAGTCACTGTCCTGTGTACACAATGATAATACGCTTTCTGCTCGCAGATTTGATGATGCTTCTCCTCTGTCGTTAGTGGCAAATTTTTGTCGTGACGCGAAAGCATACTTGGGAGACGAGCTCGACGGTGCGTCCTTCGACGGCGGAGACCGCGTGCAGGCTGTAAACCGCGCTGTCGTAAAGCATGTGAAAAGTGAGGAAGAGAGACAACAGGGCGACCGACAAGAAAGCGGCGGCCACCTTCGGCCGGGACACGCCGACCACCAGGATGCAATCCGACGCGTCACCCTCGGCCGGCCTCATGGCGGAGCGAGGCATCCATCTGCAACAAGAGCATTTATTTACCTTTCTCCCCGAACCAAAGGCGCATTGTATCGAAAGTGAAAAAATTCGGCAAAACGTAAGATTGACTCCTCCGCCGCGCGCGCGAGATCATTCCCACTCTAAACAATCACCGCGCCGGGCTCGCGATCGATAATCACGCAAGCTGACTTACACGAGACGAGCGAAATTGTCGGCACAAATTTATCGCCGCTATCGCGTGACAGACGCGAACGAGGCTGTCAATGCCGCGTCTGCTAATTTCCTTTTCTCCCCCATTCAATGCGGGCTCAAAAATTTCGGATTTAAGCGACCACGACGAGCTTTTCCCGGACGAAGTCGTTCGCGTTACCATTTTCTCTATCTTTCTCTTTCTCTTCGTACTCTCACCTCTCGCCAACAGCGATAAATCATCAACCCGCATGCCGTCCGTCGGCAAAAAGTAACGCTCTCATCGGGGCGATTAAGCTCCAACTATCTCATAAGATATATCGCACGTCAGATATTTACATAGCGTGTAAGTACATCACGAGTTCTCGTGTCCGGTCGTTGGACGCGTCGTTAAAATTAAAGACACATCGCGAAAGCAGACGTTGACGTCGCCATACTGCAAAACTTTCGCGCCAACTCGCGTTTGTCGGCGAGGCTCTTTCATCATCATGTAAGATGAGGTTTGCAACGTTAGCGCAACAGGCGCAATGTAAATTGCGTGTCCTCGCGGCGAATAAAGATCTCGCCGCGCGAAGAAGGGAGGGAGAGAGATGAGAGACCGTCGCTCACGGACGAATCGGGATTCGCGGGTGACGAAACTCGCAGTCGAGAGAGCTCTTAAGCTCGGAATAGCTAACGAACTCCCGAAACGATGACGAAGCAGGATGGGGTGAAGAAAGGGAGGAAGAGAGCGAGTGTAAGATCGATCCGCTATAAATGATGCAGAAAGGTCAGTACCCCTGAGACAGAGCGTAATCTAAATTTGATGCGGCTGTATTCCGGCGTAATGACTTCTCCTAACGTTCTCGCCGGCGATACGCAACCCCCTCCTCATCGGTTTCGCGCGCGCCGTGCCTATCTCGGCCTCCCTTCCACCATTCGGCCCTTCAATCGTTACCCGTAGTCGCAATTAGTGAATTTTCTTGACGAACTTCGCATTCCATTTTCCCCCGCCCGCCGCGAGAAGATCTCATGAAAAGTCACGTGCACTACAGCGCAGATGATATATTTCAATCTAGAATACTAACATGCGTCTCCGAGAAAATAGATATTTTTTATCAACCTACCCCTCTCACCTTGGTTTCTCACCCTATCAGTTTTCTCCTATGTAACATCTTTGAAATATATATATATATATATTTAGTAGTATAAAAATTGTATAAAAATATAAGTATACAAATATTTTATGAAAAATAAATAAGATGTTTTATTCATTGTAAAGGCAAATACTTTTGGAAATACTTTTCTAAGCTTTACATAAAAATTTATATATATATATACATATATATGTCACATTAAAAAGTCTTCGAATTTTCTTTTTTACAATCACTACATATCTCCACGATGTAAGGTTAGGATTTATATTCCAGGATTAAAAACGCTCTCTCTCTCTCTCTCTCTCTCTCTCACTTTTTTATCTGTAAATAGGCACTTAATGCGACAAAGTGACTCGGTGCGCGTATCCCCGGTTGACTTTAATATTGTATCTTTAACGAGACCTGCTCCCACTTGGGGATTGCTGTGGGACAACGTTCGAATTGGTCGGACGGTCGGTTGCTCGGCACAAACGGGAGCCATTTAATGCGCAAGTTTTCCAGCTAAAATTTGCTTTGTGCCGCCGTTGCGGCGTGGCTTGGTGCGGCACGGCGCGGCAGGCCGAGGTGTTTCCGTGGGAAACACGCGGCCCGTGTTATCCGAACAAATTGCAATTTCCAGAGTTGCCTTCCACGTCGTTGCGCTCCTCTACCGGGATAGTCCCGCGCGCCCGTGACTATCGAGAGACGATCTGCTATTTATTCATTATTGGCGTGGCGTATCAACGCGCGGTTACACAGAAAGAAAAAGAAGATTCGTTCAATTAACATCGCTGTGAACGAGCCAAGCGCGTTTTCGTTCGAGAAAAAAAAAAACAGAATTTCTACCTCTTGCGAACTAAATTTGCTTCTTGGAATCGGAAATTCTATTTCCTTTAACCAAAGTATATTCGCCTTGCTCATTTACGTCACGTTAATCCAACCAGTCTTTTTTCTGAGTAGAAAGTCTCTCTCTCTCTTCAGTCTTTTTTATGAGTATAAAGTACTCCAGAACCATCGTATGTCCTCAACGTGACAGATTCTTTGGGACATTCTAAAATGAATGTTCAAGTATAAAAATGGCGAGACTGCAATAATTTTTAAATTATAAGCGATTAAAATTGTCTAATCGTACATAGGTGACATTTTCTACGCTTCACTGCAAAAAAATGAATGTGTTATTTTGAGTAATTCGTAATTCTTTTTTAGTAAATATTTGAATAAAATTTTTATCTTCTTCCAATAATATGAATGCTTTTACTTCGTAATATAAATCAAGTCTTATATTTAAGACTCTTAAGTTCATCCTCAGATTTGCTTTGTAGCCAGTGAAGCGAGCCGTATAGTATCTGAGGATCTAAACTTAAGATGATCTTAAATATAAGACCTGGCTATTATAAGAGTCGGAGGGAAATCCGGAAGCCGGAGTTGCTGGACCGGGACTCAAACCCGAGACCTTTCGCTTGCCGGGCGTCTGCCCTTACCATTGATCTAGACTCCTGCCTCGATATATTCTTGCTTTTGCAATAAGACAAAGAAGTTTTTATTATAAAAACTACTTTTCCCGAGAGCAAGATATATATCTAAATAAAAATAATACAATTTTAAGTTCCGAAGTTCCAAAGAAATTGCAGAATACAAAATATAATCTACCGGTCGGTATTTCGAAATATATTATCGCGTGCGTTCGCGTGCAGATCGCACCAGCGATCCGAATCGGTACTCACAAGACATCTATGGGGGATTGGGGAGACCACTCTTGATGAGGCCGCGCCTTGTTGGGCATTTGCGTGCGCTTGTACGTTCACATTGTCGCAGTTCCTGAAACAGCGCAAATACTGTGTATCGTTAAGGAAATCATCAAGCCTGAACCTAAATATAACGAAATAAAAAATATCTGAAAAACAAAAAATATTTACTCGGTGAGTCTTAATATCTATGACACGTATATTTACTTAAATTGATATACTTATTTTTATCTTACTGAGAAAATATAGTTAATAAACGATTATAAAATAAATTTATTTTTTATAAATAAATCTCAAAAAATATCTTCTATTTACATTAAAAATGGAACGTTTCCATTTTATAATTCTATAAATATAAATATTTGGACCCTCTTCACAAAACGATGAAAGTCAGATGTTTGCAAATTCAAAATGCCAAAAGATGGCACAGATATGAAACCAGAAACGGGATTATGAATAATTATTTGTTAATTCTGTCTGAAGTATTACGAGAGTAAAAAATATGTGTGCACTTAAACTCACATTAAACCCTGCGCGCTGTAACTACCCGTGTACAATAATTAAGCATTTTAAGTGGCGTTATTACACCGATGCGATAATTCGCCGTTTTACGCCCGTTACACCGATCGTATCGCATAAAGTAATAATACAGTTTCTGTATGAGAGCGGTAGAGAGCGAGAAAAGGTGACGGGGGAAGAAAATGCGAGAGCGCGCGCACTATGGGAAATCAAACGCCTTTCAAGAGATTCCGCTCGACGACCCAGTTGCGCGACTCGGAAACTTGCATAGAGGCGTAAATAGAATCACCCGGTGGAACCGCAACTTTTCTCGTTCTAAACTGTCCGTCCCCACGTGCTGTATTAAAAGCACCGTGGATGTGCTGCGGATGCGCGTCTACCTTGAAATCGTGCCGCGAGTAATATCGACTACTACTACTCGTCCACGACGGCGTTAAATTACCATCATGTTTGTTACGTAATCATCGATATCGGCCCAGTCAATACGCTGTACACGTACACTCCAGCCTCCTAGACGGACGGAAAACTGGAACTTTAATAAACGTCTCCCCGCCTCCTCTCTTCCTTCGCGTATCGATTGCCGTCCCGTGTATTTCGTTCTCTCTTCCTCTATCTGTCTCGTAAATAGGCAAAAATGGCATTTCCGCGAAACAGCTATTCTTATCGGGCGCATTCGGCGCTTTTTGTTTTCGCGGGCGAGCTCCTCTGAAAACACGCGTATCCATCCGATTCATCTACAGCAAGCGTTTCTCGCGCAGCGACGTTACGCCTCTCTCGACGATGCGTATCGCAAAGTAGCACTTAAGGACGAAGAAAAAAAAGAAAAACGACCATCCGCGCGCACACGTCACTCGTGTTCGCCCGCGATCCGTCAAAACCGCGCTGCACGGAAGAATGGCGAAAACGGGATAAATAAAATAACGACGGAGCGACGCCGAGGTCGAATTTTCCGGCGGCGACCTTGAATCCTCGCGTCATCGCGAGGAACGCGCGCCGGGATCGATCGACCCTCGCGGACTCGGCGGCGACCCGCTGTCGATTCGTTTAAACGTGAGCTTTAAACGCCGCCTGCCTATTTTCATCCACGTCAGGTCTGACGACCGTCTGACCGTTGCACGAAATAACAAGGACAGGCGTCGCGTCAGGATTGGACAAAATCGATATATCGAATGCCCGGAAGCTCGGAGGTGACTCCGGACGAAGCAGAAGGAGGTTGTGATGTAACCCCCGAGGCGGTCTTCCGCTTGCGTAACATCGACCCTCCGAGCGAGCGTGGGAAGTAAATTCGGGTGGAATCGCCGATTAGAGTTCTACGGGAAATTGCAGCGCACATCTCTCCCCTCTCTCTGTGTTCGGAAGCTGCTGCCTTTTCGACAAGCAGCTCTCACCGGGCGGGCGAGTAAGAGTAATTTTATGCATAAGACGCACGAGAGATGATAAGGAGACTATTAAAAATTCAAAACATAAACGTCTCGCGATTGTCTCTAAGGAGAGCGCAAGGCGGGGAGATAATTTTCTCCCTCGCCACCGCCGGTCTCTTATCTTCCTTTTCCGTCCGTTTAAATGAAAATCAACCGCGGATCGTCCGAAGGGGATGCGCGGCAGGAAAACGCGAGGAGAAGCGGTTCTTCCTTCTCCATCGTCGTCTCCCGAGTTGCTGGAAACGAAGGGTCGTCACTTGAAGCGTCGTCGTCGTCGTTTCAACGAACTCCGTTCGTTTCTCCTTCCGCGTAACCGCGCTGACTCAGAGGTCGAAAAATGCAAATTCCATCGCGCGGATCGCATGATTCCCCCGGTGGCGTCCGCGCGAGAATCGTTTTCGAGGGCTACCGCCGCTGCTTTAACGACTGCTTCGCCAGTCGATGTGCTCGAAGCACGCGAAAACGGTAAAAGTTCGCAACGGATCGATACTTTCCCGGAAACTTCCAAGTGTGTCGCGAGAATTTGACAGATCGCGGCTGCGAGAGAGAGAGAGGGCGCATCGACACCGCGTGTCGCGAGCGTCTCGTTAGAAAACGCTCACCAGAGAAGATACATTCAGGTTGCCGTTTCGGATCGGCCAAGGGTTAGAGGATTCTCGCTCGCAAATTCAACGCGGCCAGATAAGACAGCAAGGATAATAAGCGGAGACGACGAGACGCTTAAATAACGGCGGCGAGGAGAAGATTCGCGCCCGAACTTTACTTTCCCTTATCGAAGAGTCGAATTATTCGCGTGGACCAATGAAGAGACCGCTATCGCACCGAGAGATAAGGCACCATTTGTCAGTTCAAAGGAGAAGGCGCGTTCTATTATAGATAAACGTTATCTGTGTGTTGACCTGGAGTTTCGTAAACGCAAGCACAAAGTCGGCCGCAACGCCGTGCGTATTTTCGCCACGTGCCGAAATGAAAGAAAAGAAGAGAGTTTCTGGAGAAAAATTCGATCTCGTCCACGTCTTAACTGATTTCCGCCTGAAAGCTAACGAGGGACTCCATCAAATTCGACGCGGATTCCCCGGAATCCGCCCGCTCTTCATTCCCTTTTCTCCCTCCGTCCTTTCTTATCCGAGACGCTCGACACAGTTTCCGATTTCATCATCGAGTGCTCTTCATCGTGACACATTTCCGTTGTGCGGCTGTACACGGAGGTCAAACGGATTTTGGTCGCGCTCTCGACACACAGGTCGGACCTTGAACTTGTCCGGCTCTTTTCTAAGAGTTTGAAATCTATGGACCCTTCACGCTCCCTTCCCGGTTGTTTATCGTGCCGGTAAAATATCCAGTGAATGTATCAACCAATAAATAACCACTAATATATATATATATATTTTTTTTTTCATACATTTAGCGGTTACCTCGCGCGACAATGTGCCCTTAATTTAACCCGGGTAGATCGCATTCGGCGTAGAAGGTTACACACACACACTCGCAGACGTGAATTCGAAGGTAGCATGAAACGAAGCTCCGGCCGCATAATCGATGCTGCAAACCCGATTATGGTAATTTGCGCGGGGTTAGATACAGCTCGCGCTTGAAAACTTTAGAAAGGGTGCCGTTGCAACTAGAATACCTCTCGGTCTTTTCAAGGACAGAGACGCGCTCCGTTACCCTCCCCCGTGGTGCATCCTTTGACCTTTTCCACATTACCTGTGTGTGGTCATTCGGTTATTTAGTATATCCGGCCACATAAACAACGTATAAATAACAGCAACGTTCAAGGGACTCGCGCGCTTCGTGAATAATGAACGACGAGCAATCAGCGCGCTCCCACCCCCGTCCTCTTGCGTCGAAAAATGACCCGACCGTGTGTCCGGACAAACACGTATCGATCGGATATCACGCGCCGTTATCGCTTTATTTTATATACGCGGACACGCAACGTGTTCGCGTTACATCAAACGAGAAAATGAAATCTCCAAATTGGCCGTAATTTCAGCGCGCGCGAGCGAGGCTGGGGATATCGGCACGTGACGTATGATCGATATACTCCGCGGTAGAATCTCCCGGCATCATCCCGCAAATTACATAATTATTCATAACACGAGCGCCGTAAAAGCAAGCCGTTACGGCGAGAGATATATAGCGCGCGTTGCCAGTCACATAGCGGCTTTCCTTCATTACGAATTTATCCGAGGCTCAATTGCGCTCGATATCTAATTCGCGCAGTCGATTTCGCTAATGGCCGATGACGCGACGAACTCACCCCCGACGACGACGATGGGTTAACGGCGAGTGAGCGAGTGATATTCGAGCCACGGGCTCTCGTTATTCGGGCCGTACGAAACAGAATACGCGCAGGAGGAAGCAAGAAATAAAGGAGAATGAAAGAAAATGAAAGAAAGAGAGATCGGTTATGCATACTAATGGCGGCACCGGCATTGGCTGACGGCCTCGTACACATAACGCTACGCTGTGTGCTAAAAACAGAACGGTTAGCAATTCCCCGCGAGCGGATTAAATGGACCGTCCCCGAGTTTGGATGCCACTTCGATGCTCTTAAAGGATAGTTTGGCGCTTACTGAGTTTATCTTATCAGACTAATAAAAACCTACTTTGACAATATCGACTCCTCTCTTGAACCTTTAATTTTTAGCGAAAAAATTATTACGAATTCAAGATCTCGCGACACCACCCTTATCTCTTGACCTTACCTCACGCAGCGGGTCAGGCGTCGGGCGTGTGACGTCGGTATCGGGCGCAGGCCTCGTGACGCGTTCATTAATCGGTTGCGTAGGAGAATCGGGCACGTGAGAGAGAGAGAGGAGTATAACGTAGGCGTACGGACGCGATCTCGCGGGGGCGGCGAGCGGAAACGTAGTAGTAATAGTAGAGCGGTGGGCGGCCAGTAGTAGCGTTCTACCCCCTTTCTGGTCCTGGCTTATTGCCACCGGACCGCCAGGGAGAGAGAGAGAGAGAGAGAGAACGCGTGCGCACTCGCCGTTGAGTGCGGCCAGTGAGTCAAGGTCTCGACCGGTCTGATCGACCTGACCTCGCTTTTCTTCTTAAAACGAGTAACCGACCGCGCGAGAAACATTGACCGGAGGCACGCGTGCCTGCGTGTACATCTACCTGG